TGTGACTCACATATTCAAATAGGTATCCCTCAGAACCAGGCACCTACTCACTCACCTTCTGCTTGCCCAGGGCAAGCTTCTGGAATCAGAAGCCTTGCCCTCCATCCCCAAAGTCCTGGCTCCCTTGCCCTCTCCTTCTGGCTCCTCTGCTCTCATAGCAGAAGCTGGGAGTGCACTGTAAACCTGGCCTCCAGGCTGCAACTCAGGATGTACCTGGAGGGGATGTGATGAATGAGACAACTCAATAAAATGAGCTGGCCTGGGACAACAAGTCACAAGTAACTGATTTATTAATACAACCCTGGGAGACACACCCAGCTTTGTGACAGGACTGTCTATACTCTGGCTCTTTGGTTATTCCAGACTGTTAATGGAAGTTCCAGAAAGTGGTTGACTTGACAATCGAATTTAGGAAGAATAAAATATGTTTCCCAAGAGATAAATTCAGAAACAGTCATTGGAATGTGACTCTGCAGTTTAATTGTAGTTCACAAGCAGTGGACCTCTCCCTAAAGGAAACCAGAGCTACCCAGAGCACATCAGAAATCAGCACAGCAGTTGTCGCCAGGGACCACAGGAGACCCCACTTGTAACTTCTGATCATGGTCTTTGCTTATTTGAAACAAATATTAAAATATGCATCATGTCAAAACAAAACTTTGTCAGAAATTCAAGAGACAAACATACCACCAAATGGAAAAGTCATTTAATGCAAAAATCATACTTCCACTCATTTCACAGAGATTGTCACATAAACCAACCAAATGTAAGAAAGCCAAGTTTCAGAGGTCACTCAACAGAAACTATATTTTCTTTATAGATATGCTTAGTGACGCGAAAGCACAGTTTTTTTCTTGTTTGTTTGTTCTAAAGCCCGAACATGGCAAAATTGTTTTATGAATAACAGGGGAAAAGTTCTATTCTAGTCACAAGTTACTTTTTAATTAAGAAATAGGATTCTACACACCAGTCAATATTCAATACTGAATTGAAGTTTAAAACAGTGCATTTATGGTTTTTTAAAAAAAACATTAAAGTGCCATTTTTAAGTAGTTTATTGATACTATATCACACAGCACTTTATAATATACTCAAAGGTAGCCTAAATTATGAACTAAACATGCAAATATTTTCTTCAAAGTAATGGACAAAATGTCTTTTAGAGTGCTTGTGAACAAACACTAGTCTAGTATGAATGACTTACTGTTTATGAGTTTGATCTTTTTTTTCAACATGACTCTTAATAAGTTAATAAGGAATATAGCTGTAGATAGTAACCATCTGATAAATATGAACAAAATTTCAAAATGGCACTTAATTTACATCTTGGATCATTCTGATCGTCTATCAACAGCCTCTCTTATTTCTGTAATTCTCAACCTTTAAATCTTAAAGGCTGTCAAGGCTCAGCAACTGCCAGCTTATGTGGGTTTCTAGAAGAGAGTCTGTGTCGTTATATATGTAAATGTGAGCTGTACATACACACACACACACACACACACACACAAACACATACTAATACAGATACACTTAAGAACCACCAGATGAACCTCTTCTCACAGGTACAAGGTTGACCCTGGCATCTGGATACCCAAAGAAGCTGCATGCAGGGTCTGTTTGGACAATTCTATAGAAATGGTTGATGTGGAAAGGTGCTGAATGTCTTGGCCCCTCCAGGACTGCCCAGGTAATTCTGACACTTTATCACTACTCTTGGTTCTAACTGACTACACTTTAGTAGAATTCTGATGTAATAGTAATTGCTATACTTACATGGGTCCAGGACTGTGCTAAGGTCCTTAGCCTTGCTTGCTAAGGCATTCTGCCTTGAAAGATGTTTTCATCTTGTAGTGTCCTGTAAAACTTTTGTAAAATATTAGTTGTGACCTTTTCATGTGATAGATTCCCCCCCTATTAAGAACTACATTTATCTTTCTTTAAAAAAAATCCACAGTTCTTCAGCATGGTTTATCCCTTTCTGCTACTAGCATTACTTTACACCCAATCTTTTTTCTTCTAAGAATACAAATCCTTCCATTAGGAGGCCACATTTTAGCCAGGGCTGGCTCTGGATGATGTGTGGATTCTCTACATGGCCTCTCCCTCTGCTCTAGGAAGTTCCTTAGTTAGATAGGTACTGTAGGCAGTAAAAGAAAAAAGCTAATTATGACTTGGTGGAGTCTGGTCTCAGGTATGCTCAGGTTTGTGTAAGGTCTCAGGTTTGTGCAAGGTCCATTATTCCATGGCTGTTATCACTGGGAGGCTACACTTACAAAAAAGTGATTCTGCACCCAGCACACCAGCCTGATTGTCAAACACATTTGAAGCACAAGAAGATACATTTTTTAAATGCCGACACAGGGTGTGTGAGAGGACACACAGCTGACTTAAAAGAGTGGGGCAGGGTTGTCTAGGTAAATAATCACTGTCAAGTTTGCCAGATATGACAGATAACTCCCTAGAAGAACACCCAGGCCATTCCTTTCAAAGTCAGGTAGTCAAGAGGCTGCTGATTTTCCTCAACACTGGCTACCTACTTGGGTAACATGATTGCTCATAAAACATTCAATGCTAGGGGGAACTGTGAGTGCCATGACAGCCATTGTTGTACCTAGGAGTTCTGTGTCTATAAAGCTGAGTGCTCCAGATTTTTCTTTTGGAAACAGGAGCCAGAAGATGAAATGTGCCAATAGACAGTCATGAGTAGTTGATCATGTTACTTCAGTAGATTATTTCGGTCTCACTACTCCTCAATCATGGATGTTTTTAGGATCTATACAGTCAAAATAGTTTTTGGTGTCACTGGGGTTGCTGCTTTCAAGAGATACAAGCTCTCATGGCAGAAGGACCTCCATCTGAGCTATAGGCATGGCATACATAACTGCAGAGTCTTGGCAAACCTGAAATGACACTGTCACTAGCATGACTTTGTGTTGCTAATACCAGTTGGCCAATACCTGATTGTTCCATTTTCTCTCTGCCTCTCTATCCAAAAAGGACTCAGCAAGAGGACATGAACTGGAATTATGCTGGGAAAAAAAACAAAACCCAGTTTGGTCTGACATAAGGAAATAGTTATCGTCTGTAGAAATACTAAAAAACCAAGCTAAAAACTGGCTCCAATCCTGGGACACCATGGCTGGCAGTGCTATACAGGATACACGCCTCTATGTTCAGATTTGAAAAGAGAAGAGAATATTATCAGTCTTGAGCAAGTCAGGACTTCACTTGCCTGGGGAGTTGGGGGAAGACTGTGAAACTAATTGTCTTCTCAAGACATGGTATTCTGTAGCTATGGAATTCTGGGAGTACCTGGAGGAGGAGTGAGAGACTGATCTTGATGCCCACAGAACACTCAGGCTATGTCTGCCCACCTGATCCCAGTGTCTTCCAAAAGCAACATAAGACTCCTGGGAAAGCTCGGAGATTTTGGTCCACATTATTCCACTCTGTTACCCAGTTCACTCCCCTAACCTTCCCTAACATCCCTTCTTCCAAAAGACAAGAGTCAGAAGTGAGGAGCAAAGGTAGTGGAGGGCAAAAACCATTTTCAGTCTTTAAGTTCCTTTTTTTTCATTGGCTCATATTCTGAACAGTGTCTCCAGTTCTGTAGCTGATGGGGAGGAGGGGAGCCTGGCCAGGGAAAGGGAAGCAGAGCAGCCATCTGTCAGGGCCCAGCATTGCCCAGAGAAGCCAGGAAGGGCTCTACCTAAAATTCCCATTGGCGCCAGTCCAATTTCCCTCAGCTTCAAATCAGGGCTAACTGAGGAGGCAGGGACATGTTTCCAAAGTGGTCAAGGTGGGGCCAAATATCTACAGGTACGCTTCAGTAAGGAGCTCAGAAAGCCAGGGTCTGGACCTTCTGGCCACCACCACAGACAGTAGCTCCAGTTAAGGTTCTGATGGGGCAGGTGATCTAAAATGTCAAATGTATTAAAAGCATTATGTTGCACTCTAGTTAGAAAGCACAGTGGTACAGTGTGTGCTGGTCCCCAAGCTGTTCAAAGTCTGCAAGGAATACATGTATGCTGCCCCTATGTGCCTTTTCTTCTTGGGTTTTCAATAGTAGCTTCCCTGAGTCCTCTCTCAGTCTTCTCCAATCTTAATTCTTATTCCCTCATCCACTGGTAGTGTCTCACTTGCTCTGAGTTGGGTAATAGCTGTGTCATCCCTGAGCTGATGGAATGAATCACAACAAACTCCTATTACCTTTAAAGTCATCTAGAAAGCTATAATAGCACAATCTTCATCCCTCTTTGGAGTTTTTTTCTTATTTTGGAGCCAGAGGAAATCTGAGATGAATAAACATGTTTAGGAAAAAAGGAAGCAGCAGCATATCAAGAACTAAATATCCTAAGCCAGTTTTTCTTAGAACCTAGACACACAACATTTGCAAATTTTAACTTGGACTTGGTTATAAAGCCTTATAAGATGTGCCAGAAGAATAAGATACAAGGAGCACACAATTATCCCATCTTCTGTCCTGGTACTTTGGGGTACCAAGAAATACACCTGAGAAGAAAAATGAAAAAAAAAAAAAAAAGATCTAACCCTTGGCCTCACCTGTTTAAATCCTGAGCTTCATCTTACTACTGGGTAGGACTTCTTGGAAAAGTTAATTGCCTGAAGATGCTCTTTCCATCTCCAAAGCCAAAGCCCAAGAAATGCTTAAAAAACCACATCTAGATAAAGAAGACTGAACACCATTCAGGTGCCATGGCCACCACCAAGAACCAGCAAGAATATGTGGAAATATCTTCTTCCTCAAGGCAAGAGAGGGGCTGACCTTGGCTCTCTCTGACCATGTGTCCCCCTCTCTGCCTCATATACACACTTGTTCAGCAATCAAAGCTTAAATGTGTGAAGCAACTAGCTTAAAGAATATCAAATATAAAACTTTGCCATATAGTATTTTAAATCACTCTATTTACAAATTTATCTTTTCAAAAAAATGTAAAAGATACAGTAATTCAACACAATTCAAGTTTTTCTTTTCTTCTTTAAAGTTCCCTCAAGAGGAATTCCAGAAGCAGGACACACACTGGAACATGGCTGCCATTCCTGTAGGGCTCCCAGGGAGCTTGACAGTCCCTCACTTTGGAGTTGGTCTGCCCAGAATCACTCTTGTAGGGACATTCAAGTGTGGAAATACTGGGACTCTCTTCTTTGGAAGCCAAGTGGAGTTGAAATGTCCAGGCCAAACTTCCCCATCCAAGGTGGTCTTCCACAAGACCCAGCCCCTTCTGGTCCAGGAAATTCTCTTTCTCAGAAGGTACCCATCCCACCTTCCATGCCCCAGCCTTGTGGCGTCCTCCTAAATCACAATGGCTTCTCATATTAGTCTCACACCCCAAAAGCCTGAGAAACAATTCCCTTTTTCTGAGTGGCAGTGAACATGTATGTCCTTTTAAACTGGAGGCCATGGGGTTATTAGCTCAGGAGTCATGCCTGAAAACCTCCAGGGGACCAGTGCTAAGCAACCCAGGGCATGGCCAGGGGAGCTGGTCAGTGGTAGGCTAGAGGCAGGCAGGGGCAGGAGGAGGGACAGGTGAACGGGGGGGAATGAGAGAGAGAGATAGATGGTGTCCCTCTTTAGGAGGCGGCATGTTGCCCTCTAGAAAACAGACATGAGTTGCATGCAAGAACAGAAATATTAAGCCTGTATGTAATTTAATCTCAAGAGGTTACTAGAGTTTACTCCAAATATATCCTGGTGCTGCTGAAATTCATCAGAAAGGGAACAGTTCTCAGCTGCTATTCCATCTGCCCCCAAGTAGACCTGGTTAATTAAAAGTCACTCAGTTGTGTCCAACTCTTTGCAACCCCATGGACTATACAGTCCATGGAATTCTCCAAGCCAGAATACTGGAGTGGGTAGCCTTTCCCTTCTCCAGGGGATCTTCTCAACCCAGGGATCAAACACAGGTCTCCTGCATTGCAAGCGGATTCTTTACCAGCTGAGCCATCAGGGAAGTCCAGAACTTGACCAGGTTGTTGGAAAACCATTCAAAAAATGACTGAAAGGGCGAGGGGGCAAAAAAATATGTCATGCAAATATTTTGTGTTACTTTTTGGTTTGGTTTAGAGTAGGCTGGGTTGCCGTGATTATGAGGTGATGGCAGCCCTCGGTGGCAGAGAAGTTCCCAGCTTGGGAGGGGGACCCTGGAATGTGTGTGTTCTCTTGCATGAGAGGACTGGACAGAATTCTGCTGATGCTGGGCCAATGGCTGCTTGAGAGATGGTGAGATTGGATCTTGTGTAACCAGTGCCGTGACCCCTCTCCATCCTTCATGCAAACTAACAGACCCAGCAGCCTGGAGCACTGCGGGGCTGAAGTATTCAGACGTGGGATAGAGTGAATGTCTACTGTAAACAAAAGCAGTGGACCCAGCCTGGATCTCAGGCCACTGCCCAGCCCTGTCAGAGCTGGCTACAATGCATGCTCTTGGGGACTACTTGTATCTCACTTACTTCCTTTTTCAGAAGGTTGGGGTTTGGATGACTGTGAAAACAAAATGAGCACACCCCATGTAGGGTGCTAAATAAGAGACATGGCTCTGTAAGCCTTTCTCGTGGTGATCAAAATCAAATGGCCTCCTCTGCTGATTTCCTTCTCTTTCTTGCAGTATCACGCATGTCAGCTGAGATGATCACGGGGATGTGTGACACCAGAGTTTACGAAAACGTTCGTGCTGACAGGTAGCAGCAGAGTCAGTCACCCTGTATTTCTCAGCGGCAAAGAGCAATGGCCCACAACACTGGAATCAGCAGTTGTCGTGGATACCGTGGAAAGCTCAGCAGTTCTGCCAGGGCTCCCGTTTACAGGAACTCCACGTAGTTCTCGGGTATGAGGCCTGTCTTTCCATTCAGAGTCCCCTCCAACCAGCCAGGCTCCTGGGACGGATGCACTGTACGGGAAGTGAGCAGAGAGAGAAGATGACGTTACACATAGGGCAAGGGGCGGGATACGGACCGCGCCGGTGTGGAGGAAGTGTACAGATCGAGTGCCGTTGCTCGTTAAGGAACATAATTCTTGAATTTGTTTAAACCAGAGGTTCTTCACCCATTGGGGGGACCTGGTGAAGGTCATTCTGAACTTTCTCCATAATTCAAAGGAGAAAAGACACAGACATTCAAATTCTACTCACAATTTTAGGAGTTTCATGGACTTTGCGAAGTTCCTGGTTTTAACTATAAAGAAGTAACATTTCAGTTTTTTAGGCTAGACGTCACAGTCATGATATTCCCTCTTTATATTTACCTAGGTATCCATCAATGCATGTACTCATCTACCCACCCAGTGCTGACTATGTACCAGACCAAGTACCCATGGAGGACTGATATCTAGCTCCTAATCATTTTGCTTCCCTTCAAATCCTGATCCTCTGCTTCCAATTTTCTTGCAAATTCCCTCTGCATTTTAAAAAAGTATCTTATAGTCTTTGAATGGCCCTCTCTTGTTTCCAACCATACCCTTCCTTAGTTTTCTTTCCTGTTCTCTACAGTTTTCCTCTTTCCTATATACAAGTCTGAAAGCTGTCCTCTCCCTCTCTATTGCAGTTTAGAAAATTTCTACCCCTTTGATTTTTCCATATCCAAAGACTACATACCCAATGTTCTGTTATATGACAATCCATCTCCATGGAAACCACTGTGACATTGTAAAAATTACACACACAATCCAGCTGAGTCCGAAAAGCAGTCAACAGCAGGAAGGGAGAAAGAAGGGATCATGGACTTGGGAGAGGGGGCTGTTCATGTTTGTGAACTGGGAATATACAAATCACTCTTGGGTGAGGCAGGATATTTGCTCCTAACATTTTAGGAAAACACCAATTTTTCCAAGATTGTTTGGAGAGAATGAATTCCCCCCATTCCCTTCCTAGGCTAATTAAATGACTTCCTGAGTTCATCTTAGAAAAGCATTTCCGCCCCCAACACTATAATACAACTCTAGTTTCGGTCTGTAGGGAAAGAAGGAAGAACAGAGACCAAACAGACTAAATGTAGAAGCAGCAGAAGGATCGCCACTGAGGCTTACAGAAGATCAGTGTCAACCTTGGCTAGATTTTGAAGGCTTCTGTAGGTAAAGACAAGGTCAAACACCTATGAGCTGGCCTTCAACATGTTTGCATGCTTTTGTTTCTCTAGGAATAGATCCAAGTAGCAAGGGTACTTTGGATTCATGACACCACACAGGGAGGAGTCTGGGAGAGAAGTTCCATGGAAGAAAGAACACAACACAGCTTAAAAGCAATGCAGTGTCTCCAGTGACCAAGCTCTCTCAGCCCACCACTGAAATGCTAGCACCCAAACACCCCAGCCTCCTGCCCATCTATCCAGCTGATACTGTCAAGATTACTTCAGTTTCTTCAACCTATCAAGTGGTGATTAAAAAAAAAAACAAAACACTCTCTTCCCCTCAGTGGACTCTTTTGGAGGTTCAGGAGCCAACACGGAGAAAGCACAGTAAATGCTCAGCATGGGTGAGTCAGTAGGGGAGCCTGCATCATTTGACCAGTAATTTGGACTGGTCAGCAGGACTTTCCTGGTCAAACTTGAGTCTCAACAACCTGGTTTCAACAACTACCTAAGCTGAGGGAAATCTCAAATGTTCAGAACCCAAACCAAACAAATCAAACTCACTCCCATAAACAAAAGACCTAGAAAGAATAAATCAACACACAAATTAAAAACCCAAAAAAGTCACCTCCTATTTAACAGCAAAGCTCCTCGCTGAGTTGCTGTTCTACTGGATGCACTGAGTCCATCTCTTTCAGACTCTCTCCGTTCCTGTGTTCAAACACAGTTCGGGTGCAGAGATGGTAATGTGTGCAAACATTAGAAATGGAATTTGCAGAATAAGGGAAGAATCAGAGGGGACAAAGGAAGCCCTCCAAACTAAAGAACGAGAGAAATGCCATGGGGGGTGGCAGAGGATGATGTAGCCTTTGGGTCAGACTACTGACTCAGTGCAGTCAGCAAGTTGGGCCTCACTAAGGCGTGGTACCAGACCAGGTGCAACAGAACCACCTGCACAGTTATTAAAACTGCAGATTCCTAGGCCTCATGGCTTATCGGTTACAGCAGAATCTCGAGGAGGGGGCCCAGGGATCTGCATTTTAACTCATTCAGAGAAAGTTATGGCTTCTCTGTGCCAAAATGCCCCTGCAATGAAGTGATAGTAAGCACTGACGAAGAAAAGAGGCCGCCCCACAACCCCCAGGTTTCTGTCATCTTTTGTTTCCCTTCCTCGCACTTCAAGGCTCAGTTGAAGCCCCACCTCGTCCATAAATATCATCATGGAATGCCATCTACCTGCTCCCTCCCTTCCCCAGGTTCCTGGAATGCTCATCATATATACTGCATATTATTCATAGGTCTTACTAATGCTGTTGAAATGTGTTAAGCTTGTTTTCCCTAACTAGTTTTTCAGTGCATTTTAGTTTGTATTCTATCATTCAACATACTTCACTGACTCTCTTCTGGTGAACTACAATGAAAGAAGCTAACACCTACAAATGGTGACTGGGAAACAGCCATGGACTCAGAGACGGACTCATTTAATCTTAAGGATCCTACCTTGTACTACTATTATCGCTATTTTACAGCTGAGAAAAAATTAAGGCTCAGAGAGGTAAACTGATTCATGTAGGGGCACCACGTTAGAACCAGGATTTGAACCCAATTTGTTTGATCCCAGAAACCAAGCCCTCTTCCACTTTATCACACCCCTAACCAACCAGAGGAGGTGATCCTTGAGAATAAGAATGATGGTGCCCATGGAGACTAACTGGTGGGCCCTTCGCTAAGTGCTTCCCCTGCAGGATCTCTTTTCATCTTCACTATGTCTACAGAGTTGCTCCTGCTATTATCCTCATGTTACTAATGAGAAACAAAGCCTCAGAGAAGTTAAACTTCTAGCCCCAATTACAGAGCTGGCAGATGGTGGAGCTGGATCTGAACTCAGGACATCTGACCCCAGGCTCTGAGGCATTAAGCACTACCACTTTGGCCTAGCCTAATGCTCCCAGGGCATTGAAGATGCTTGTAAGTACTTGTTGGGTTGAATCACATCAACATCCAACCTTCTGAATTGTACCAGTGTCCCCTATGCTATATAAACTCACAAGGTGTTGCAGTGAGCTGCCTGGGCAGCTCTCCAGCCCAGCAGGCATTATAACAAATAAAAGCTGCTGCTGACATGGCTGTGCTTACTGCCAACTACTCTCTCTCTGCTCAGTCCATATTCACATCACACACCCCTGCTCGGGCAACTCACGCTCTCCCAGCTCCTTCACTCACGATGGACAAGGAGCAACTGTGAACCCAAGATCCTGACAGCAGGCTGCCCTGAGGCAAAGTAGCACTAGCTGGAGGAGTGCAGACCCCTGTGTGGTTGAATGAGTGGACTCATTTAACAAATGTTACTTCAGCACCTGCTATGTGCCACATTCTGCATGCAGTACTGAACAAGAAGAGACTCTGCTCTAGGGGAGAGGCCATCTATAGTAAGTAAGCACGTAATTTTAGGTAAACTGATGAGGAGAGAATGAGACTAAGATAGGGATATGGGTGGAGGGCCAAGAGTTTGAAGAGTTAAAACCTAAATAATCCAAAGTGGATGGCCACGCAGTGGGTGATGCAAGTGAGAGGCCCCAAGATGGGGAGAAGCTTGTTGTGATTTCAGAACAGTGCTGTGTAAGTTTTTCTTAAAAAGCCAGATCATCAGTGTGAAACTACTCAAATCTGTCAAATCTGTGCCACAGATAATATGTAAACACAAGGCGTGGGTGGCTGTGTCCCAGGGAAGACTTATTTACAAAAACAGTCAGTGGCAGGTCATAGTTTGCCGACCCTATTTAAGAACATAAAGAAGGACTCAGAGGCTGCTGTGTATCAAGGGAGGGGAAGAGGGGGCCAGAGGGCAGGGGCGGGACCTGGAGGACTTCGTCAATAATTCTAAGAACAACATGAGGCTACTGGAAGCAGGAGAACAACATGATGTGACTTCCATTTTTAAACGATCATCTGGCTGCTGTGTAGTGCCTGGGTAGCAGGCAGGGTAGATGCAGTAAGACCAGTTAGGCAGCTGGTAGAAACGCCTGGAGAGGCTGGGGAGGCTAAAAGACTCCACTGAGAAATTCTCTGGGAACCCCACTGCCTGAGATGTCCTTTATCAGCAGAGGAAATCTGGGGCGGCCCTGCCTGCACTCTGTACCCCAGGAGGGAAGGATCCGACCCATCTCACATCTGGATAAAAGCATCCCAAGAACCCAATTTTAGTGAATGCCATGTGAATTTCCAGGTATCACTAGTTGTACTGCTTCTAGATGACTAATGTCCCTGGGAACACCAGTTATTTCTCTTTCCAGTTACTGTCTGAGGTGCTCTTGGTGAAACGCAGTTTCCTAGTAGACTGGCAAGGGCTGCCACTGGAGTTACTTCCGAGTATTGCGCAGCCATTACCCACTGCACAAAGTCCAAGAGCTGACTGGGCAGCCGCTCCAGATTCACAGGGGGCCCCTGGGATCCAGAGACCTGGAGATTAATCATTACGAACAACTGACTTTCCCCTCAAGGAGCCCCTCCCTCTTCATCCTCTTTTCTGCTTCTTGATCCTGAGAAAGACAAGACACACACACAAACACACACACTCACTCATTTATTCTAATGCTGTCATTAGAAAACTTCCTTCTCATTGATCTGATGATTTAATCTGACAGCTACAGAGCATGCCACTCACACTGCTAAGGCCTTACCTAGGCTCTTCAGCAACAAATTGCTGAGTGAGAGAACAAGGAAAAAACCTCTCTGACATGTGAATAGTTCTTTTCTTTAATGTCCACTTTTTTTCCTAAAAAGGCAAAGGGATGGAGCAAGTAGGGTCTAAATAGCATTTTCTAAAAATTGGAAGTCATAAAACATTACCAACCAACTAGATTAAAAACTAGATCGATATTTTGTCAGATCCTTCTTTGACTGCAGCTCAGTGAACACTGAGAGGTGTTGTCTTCAGGGATTACTGTGGCCTTCTGCCTTTCAGGGAATTGGAAAGGTCACTGGCATTGCTGGTTAAAAATAAACTAGTGTCAGTAATGCTGTTGGGATCCCCGGAGACCACAGGAAGGCCAGGTAAGTACTCTGCCTCTCTCCTGCTATCATTGGCCCTTCTGGGGTGAAGACAATTACTGAGTTGAGGGGCGGGAGCAGTCACAGAACCTGCTGGGAAGGGAAGGACTTGGCAGTTAAAAATCAAGTATCATTTCTTTTTTCAGTTGGCTAGTTAAACTACTTCAAAAAGGAGACTTAAAAACTAAAGAAGCGGGGAATGCCAAATGTATAACTCTGCTGGAGATCAGTTGGGCAGTTCCTTCAACAATTAAACATAGAGTTACCATGTGACCCAGCAGGCCCATGCCGTGGTATATCACCAAAGAGAGTGGAAAATCTATGTCCCCACAAAAGCTTGTGTGAAGATGTTTATAGCAGCATTACTAATAAAAAGAGCCAAAAAGTAGAAATAATAAAAATGTCAATCAACGGATAAATGGATAAACAAAATGTGGTATATCCATTAAAAGGAATGGAGTTCTGAGGCATACTACAACATGGATGATGTTGAAACTATAATGCAAAGTGAAAGAAGTCAGTTACAAAGACCCTGTATTGTATAACTCCGTTTACATGAAACATCCAGAGCAGGCAAATTTATAGTGCCAAAAAGTAGATGAGTAGATATATAGGTGGGATGGAGCAGGCTTGGGATAAATGGGGAATGACTGCTAAAGGGAGCAGGGTTTCTTTGGGGGTGATGAAGATATTGTGGAATGAGATAATGGTGATGGTTGCACAGCTCTAAATATACTAAAACCCACTGAAATGTACATTTTTAAATGGGTAAATTACATGGTATATGGCTACCTCAATAAAGTTGTCTAAAAAAAAAAGGGAAGAAGGCTGAACTCAGGAAGAGGAGTCCCCAACAAGACACACATGCTTACACAGACCTTTTGTGAGCTTAAACCCACTCTGCCCTGGGATCAGGGGTCCTCTGTGTTGTCAGAATGAATAGCTGATAGGAAACACACCAGGCCCTTGTCCATCGGGGTACTGGAGTGAACTGTGGTTTAGAAGACAGACTTTTAAGCTCTGGATTTACCGCTAGATGTGGACCTCTAAATTCTTGCTCATGTATGTACAGAAGCCCCTTCCCTGCTGACAGCACAGCACCAGAGCCCATGCATGCAGCCCACCGATTTGTCTGCCATGAAAACTGTGTCATGTTATGGCTGGGCTGTGACTCCCCCGCACATGGGCCTATTCACAAGGGACACTCGCTGAGGACATGGCTTTAGACAACCTTCAGTGGACTCACTTCATCTACAGGTGTGCCAGAACCTAAAAGCTCCAGCTGCTGACAGGAGAGGTGGCTTGGCTTGCTGTCTGTACACCTTGATTTTTAAAGAACCCAAATGAAGGTTAATAGAGCAAAGGTTTAAGGCCAGTGCTCTGGGGACTTTGAGAACCATACATGAGGAGCTGTGGGCTCACTCCCAGCCCTGCCGGGTCAGACCAAGGGCCACCAAGTGTGACCTGGGAATTCCCCAGGTGCTCTCTGACTGTTTCCCATTTTATCTACTCAAGCCTGATTATTATTTCTGCCGTGCTGAAGGCAGGGGCTGGCCACACAGTGGGGAAGCCCCCTTGCATATGGATGCACTCAAGGCTGGTCCCCAGGAGCCCATCTCTGCTCCGGCTGGGACCTCAAGGCCCTTACAGAGAGCCAGGATCTGGGGTGTTGAGGTGCAATACCTACTGCCCAGCTGAGCAAGCCAGAGCTGGGTTGTATTAGCAGCTAAGAAGGAAAACCGTCATTGTGAATGATAAGAGCATCAGGGCCTTTTTCTAAAACAGACCTAATGAAATGATGATCATCATAACAAAAGCAAGACACTGAGGCTCACTGTGTGTTGAGTACTACTGTAAACATGTCATGCACACTATCTCAATCTTCTCTCACATCCATCTGTTCTCTGTCTATGACAGAGAGGACTGAGGCACAGAGAGGTTAAATCACTGCTTGAGGCCACACAGAATCAAGTGGTCAAGCCAGGGATTGTGCTACAGTGGCCTGAATCTCAAGTTCAGGCTGTCCAGTGCTACACGGGAGCCCTGGCATTCCCACGTTTCCAGGTCTCAGGCATGTGGTAGGAGGTGTGGTCCAGCTCTAGGCAGGACTGAGCGGCCAGGACAGGGAGGGAGCAGTGCGCAGTGTTAACTCACCCCTGCCGGGGAACTCTGCCCCTGCCCCACCTGAGGTCAAGGAGGGAGGCCCAGAGCATGTCCAGTTCCGGAAACCAGGCAGCTGGTTTTTGCTTCCTCCTTTGAGCAAAACAAACAGACCCTTTCACCCAGGCATCTAGAGGGATTAACCCCCAAGGAGAACTACATCTGGGGAAATCTCAGCCGCAACAGAAACTTGGGCCTTTCCCCAGAATCCTGATTTTCCTCTCAAGGCCAATAATAAGTTATGACACATTGGGACATCAACTCCACCAATTTTCATTTTTTAAAATATTCCCTTTTTTTTTTTGAGGGAGGAATACAAACAAATGGAACAAGGAAATGTTACATCAAGCAAGCCCGAGGTCCTTGGGGCAGGTGCCCGAATCCATTTTCCTGCAGGAATGCCTGTGCAGGACAGCTGGCACTTGGCAGGGGTGGTTTGACTCTGGGGTCAACTTCCCACTCCAGGCAACGGGGGAAGGACGAGCAGGGATGCAGCACAGCTCATCTGCCCCAAGCTCACCTGACGCCCTGAGCTCACCGGACCATCTCAGAAACCGGCCTCACCTGCCATGGACAGTGAATCCCCTGGAACCCCAGAAGACAGGTATAGGCTCTGCGGCCGCAGGCCACACCCAAAGCTTCTGCCCACTTGCAGGGTTCCTGTTCTCCACTGCTTTGTCTCCCGGCTCTGTCCAGTCCCCTGATGCTCAAAGCCTGTGCATGGACCATTGCATTCAATGCTCATGACATCTCCATGACACTGTCCTGTCACAGTGAGGAGGTGACTCCATTCGTCCTCTCTTGACAGTGATTCCTTGAGTTCTGCCACTGCTCTCTCATTGTGGGAAAAGACCACCCCCGCGCCCACCCCCTCCGCACATATACACAGTCCTTTTCAGTCTTACCTGTTCTATGGAAATTTTCCTTAGGTGGAAAGCAACTCTCACAACTCCAGTTATGTATTTGAAAAACTCACCATTATCGAAGACCGTCCCTGCTGTGAATGAGAGCTCGGAGTCGTGTTCTGCTTTGCAGGCATACAAGGCTTTTGCCTTCCGGAATGGTGTGCTGGGGGAAAACAGTTTAATGAGCATTTTAAAAAAACCTTCTGCAAGATATTTCATCTCTCTTCCTCCTTCCCTGCAAGCGGCCTAGCCCTCTCTTGTGGGAAGAGCCTGACAAGGCAGCCAGATGGCAAAACATGAGGTAGGGAAGTCACAAAGGTCACCAGAGTAAAAATGAGAAATAGGCAGAGAATAGCCATAAGCCCGGGAAAACCACTCTTCTTGTGGGGCATGTTGTGCCAAGTCAAAACTTGACCTGGGAGTCATAAGAGCTGAACAGTTGCGGGGGGCGGGCGGGGCGGGGGGGGGCAGGCTGGGCCCTGTATGGGGAGCAGGACTAGCTGGGGAGTAGGGAAGTGAAGGCAGGAAAGAACTTCCCAGTTGTTCTTGTGGACACTCCCAGCAGACCATGCTAGAAGCTGGCAATGCTCAAGGAGTTGAAAGGGAGAAATTCAAGCAAAGATGGGTCTGGGCTCCAGGCCCAGGGCTGACGTTAGCTTTTGCAGATGTTATTTCTTTCTCATTGGGCTGGTGGAGCAGGATTCCAGAGTTGGAACTCCCGGACCCCCAGGGCAGGGCAGGGCAGGGCGGGGAGCAGTCAAGGTGTGGGCATGATCGTGTGTGTGTGTGTGTGTGTGTGTGTGTATGAGCATATGTGTGTACACGTGTGTGGGGATGAAGAAGGGAGAAGGGACACTGTGGCAGTTTTTTTGTGCCTTTCTCATTCAAGGAGTGCTGACACTCATTGTGAATCAGAATCACTTCAAAAAATGCAGATGTCTGGGTTCCACCCAGACAGAATTTTTATAAAGCTCGCCAAGTGACTCTCACGAGCGACGAGGGCTAAGAACCATTCTTCTAGAGTAGGGGTTGGCAAACTCCTTCTGTAAATGGCTAACAGTAACCATTTTAGGCTTCGTGGGCCATATGGTCTCTGCTGTTTTTACTCAACTCTGCATTGTAGCATGAAAACAGCCACAGACAAGATGTACATGAAAGAGTGTGGCTATGTTCCAGCAAAACTTTATACTTATCAAACATAGGAGGCAGGCTGGATTTGACCCAGTGGCTACAGATTATGTTCTAAAGTACAAGTTGCAAGCACTGCTAAATCAATTTTTGTCTTGATATCCAACCAGTTCCAACAGATCTATGACTTCTCAAAGGTTATAAGAAAATGGATGTTTAGCAGTCAAAGGCTGGCTCTTCATTTGCTGAAAGCAACCTCTCTCTTCTCCTAAGCTATCTGAGGAAGCATATTTAGGGGCTCCAGGGTAGAGTAGCTGAAGAGCAAGTAGTCCTCTGGGTTAGACAATTATTCAAGAGATACGTATTATTTGCTTTACCTTTATTTGGCTAATGGAGGGCCTCAAGGACCTAGGGAGGCTAAACCTCCATTTCAAGTGGCCGAGTGAGATTTAGTAGAGGAATGATCTTAGGTAAATCCAGACATGATCAGAAGGATCAGGGTACTTTTGATCACTACAGAACTGTTACTCTTGGAGTCACCAAGTCCAGCTTCCCTCTGGGAAAGAGGTGTCATGGATGTTTGGAAACCTGTACCATGGCCAGGCATTTAAAACTTTTAGTCTTGGTTCCATGAAAATTGAAGGAAAGGTGACGTAACAGGTCTGTTGTGCAGATAAACGGCTATCCAGAATTTGTTGCTGAGGTGCAGTTTACTGGTGTTTTCCCTGGTCTTCTAGTAACTGGGAGATAATAACTGGGTGGGAGAAAACTGGGCAAGTGGGAGAACACGAAGTGGGTTTGCTGGGAGTGAAAGGAGGAAGAGCCTTTAGAATGTATCAGCTCCAGCTGGAAACCAGCTCCTCCTACATAATTATCATTAGTATTAGGATTAAGTTCAGGACAAGGGGCGCAGTCTGTGATCTAACGAAACCAAGTCTATGTGTTGACCACCAAGGGCCAAACAGCCAATGTGACATTAAAGTTTTATTGTTTTATTTTGTTGTTTGTTTGTCTGCTTTTGATGGAATGGGGAGCAGAGAGCATCTGCTTGTGAAAAGTGTTAAAACAACCAAAATTCTCTACAGACAGGCAAGTGAAGCCCGCAATAACATGAACGTGGAAGGAGAATGCAGTGGCCACGAGCCAGGGTCATTGTCCCTGGAGGACGGGGTAGAGCAGCTGCGGGGAGAGCACAGGGACCAGGGACAGGAGATAAAAAGTGAGGCAAAAATCACCTGAGGCAAGGGTTCTCTGGCTGGGTTTTCATAGAGGTTACTTATTAACCTCCTCAAATACAAGGAATGGGACAAAACAGGGACAAGCCAGGGAAATCAACTCGGTGTCTGGCAGGAAGGAAGCAGGGGGAATACCTCAGATGCCCAAGACTGTCTTTCAAGAGGAGTAAATTTTCCACTAGTATCTGGTTTAGGAGACTTAACAATGATAACATTCAATAAAGCAGCATATTAAATATAAGAACAAAGGTCAGGAGAGAATCTTGCTTTTGTTTCAAATTAAGAGGTGACTGACAGTCTATAAGAGGGCTTCCTCCTACCTCCATGGCATGTGACCCAAGAATGGGAGAAATGATACAAGGGCTGCTTCTAAAAGGAACTACTCCTGCTCCCCAGGACAAGGGCTGGCAAATAAGACACAAGGCAGCTAGTAAAATCTGAAGCTCAGATCAACGAGGAATACTATTTTAGTGTATGTCAGAAATATTGCACAGGATATACTTAAACAAACATTTGTGGTTTACAATTCAAATATAACTGGATATTCTGAATCTTCATTTTATTTGCTACATCTGGCAGCCCTACCCAGGGGAAAACTTTCTCTTTGTAAGAATTTGCTAGCCTGAGTCCCACCGAGTCCCACAGAGCCCCATGTCACTCTCTCCTTATCAAAAGCCCTGAGCGGTTTGCATTAGGTAGGGTTTCTACCAAAACAGATCCTGTTGGCACACAGGTTTTATTTGTAGGTTTTGGCTCTGATTAAAGAAACAAAAGATCTCCACTTTGGTTCTTCTGCTCCCTATTCTCCACAGAGCACCTCTACCCTGGACACAGAGAGCCTGGGGTGCCTGTGACTCTTCTGTGATGGTGCCCTTCAGACCTCAGTGGGGCTTTCAAGGGCACAAACAAGCTTGGAACCTTCTGCTAGTTCATTTTTAATTTTTGCCTCTGAGCATGGCATGGGGCCAGGAAAGCACTCAAGAGGAGTTTCCCTCAACTGCCCTTGCAAGCTCTGCAAAATGACAACCCACTGTCTGCACTGTCCAGGGAGGTGGGCTCAGCTAGACTGGCGAGATGCAACAGTCTGATCATTTTGGCATAATTTCCAGTAGCCCTTGTGTGATTCCAAGTTAGGAATTTGGGGTGGGGTACCCCTTTTCTAGGGGTACAAGTGAAAGGAAAGGGAACACTCCTCCAGTCCCCTCTCTCTGCTGTGCTGTGAAAGGCACCTCCATTCCTGAGCTTGAACTAACAAGCAAAGCAATGCTTTGAAGAGGGGGGATCAAACCTCTTCCAGAAAAGACGTTTATATAGAAGTTCATGGGCCCATTAATTATGTCTAATTAAGTTTTTATTTTTAAAAGCTCTGTCTAGGGAAGGAAATCTGAAACTTCATGTTCTGGAAGTGGATTTGGGGGAATGGTTCATTGGACCTGAATAATGGGTATATGCCCCCACCTCTTGGCTGCATATTGCAACAGCAATTATGGGATTTTTGCCTTTTGTTGGCTGGCTCCTCAGCTGTGTCCCCATCCATGCTCGCTTTGGCACACATGGTCAGCTCAGTGATAGCCAATTGTAAGTCCTACTCTGTCTTGCCTATTTCAAAATGGCAGCATCCTACAGGGTTGTGCAACAGCATCATCCAAATGGCGCCATTACAATGAGGGCCAGAGTGAATGGTCCTGAGTAATCATGAACCCAGACACGTGGGGTGTACAGATTCTGCTGCTACTGTCCTCTGCCAATCTGGAAATACTTTGGAAAAGGAATAGCTAAAAGAGTTAAACCTGGAAATTTCTGGGTGACAGAAGTGGAGAGGTGGAGATACTGGACAGGCAATAGGGCCCCAAAGCTTAGAGATATAGAAAAATGAAAACCATCAAAGCAGAGCACATTTCAGTTTTGTTTAGCTGAATGATTCTACTGGCTTGAGTCCCCCAACCCATTCTATTCAAGGGCTAATGTTCTGAAGATTTTACTTTCTTTGGATCAAAATGAAGGAGCCATATTTTGGCTCTGGTTCAGGTCTTCATGGGGCAATCAATGATCTAACCAGAACAATTCAAGCCATATATCTGGTGTCCTTGAAAGTTACCATCTCCCAGAATGTACCTAAAATAATTAGGAGATAATCTGAGTGTCAAGAAAAGTATAATCTGTATTTTTACCTTATTCCCAGGGTGAGGATAAAAGGATATAGTGAAAAGCTCTCTCTTTCCCATTTTCAAGGAAAAAGCTAGACATAAAACCTAGAAAAGCAGGCCAGGCTATTGGGCTGGGAAGCATGAAAACTCAAATTTGGGGCTACCCATGTATTTGGCGGAAAGAGTGCTGGTTGAGGGCAAGAAGTCCTGAATTCTGGATTGGATCTTATGAGTCATGTGACTGTATACAAGTCACTTCTCTGTGCCTTAGTTTTCTTTCTCTGTAACAGGGTTCAGGCCATTTCTTCTCTCATTCTCACATGCAGATACAACAAAATAATAGATATGGAAGTGCCTGGAGGAGAATAAAGTAATCTGTGTATGTGTGCACACGCACTCAGTTGTGTCCAACTCTTTGTGACCCCATGGACTGTAGACTTGCCAGGCTCCTCTGTCCATGGAATTTTCCAGGCAAGTATACTGGAGTGGGTTGCCATTTCCTACTGCAGGGGATCCTCCTGACCCAGGGATTGAACCCGCATCTCTCACACTGGCAGGCGGACTTTTACCATTGTGCCACCTGGGGAGCACCCATGTATGTATGTACATGTGTATAAATAGCATGGTGTTTCTTTTTTTTTTAAAGTGAGACACAGCTTTATTGATTATTTAAGCCTCTCTGCTAGGGAGGCTTTCTCCCTTGGAGAAAACCAACTATGAGTAAAAGAAGGATGAGAAAACACTGCCATGGCCTGAAGTACTGATGAAGCTTATAACTAGGCTCCGTGTTTTGGCTGTCTGAAAGCAGAGACTATCAGTGCAAGACACACACATGCTGGGGACCTACACAGCAGAGGGACTCTGCAGCATCCTCATGAATTCTTTTGTAGGATTTAAACAGCTTCTTTTTTCCAAAGAACTCAAATGCAAAGAATTAAGTCTGCGTGTCATCAAAGCAGGGAAAAACTACAGCCTGGGCCTTGGATGGAAGAATTAGGTCAACCCTCAGAAAGAGGTGTCACCTGTTCCCAAAAGAGCTAAGGGTTCATGACACCTGGAGACAGACTCAGGCTGGGAGCACAAGGGTTCCTGGGACTGCATGGAAGGTAAGGAACAATTTATTCTGTATTATATTTGTCTCTCTCCCAACTGGTCTGGGTCTCATCATCTAGGTGTCAATATTCATGGCCAAAAACCCAACTCCACAAATAAATGTTTCCTGATGCTACCTGATAAAAATGAGGGGAGAAAAGGCCGGCACGTGTCTCAGCACTGTTCCCTTTGAAATTATCTTGTTCTAGAGTGCAGAGAGCTTCCTGATTCAGAGAGCAATCTAAACAGGAGCCCTTTCAAGAAGCACTCTCTCCCCAAACTCTAGGCACCACAGATAAATTCAGAAACTGGCGGAAGGGTTCAGAGGGGCATGAAAAATGCCATGCTGGTTCATGCAAATGGTCCCTCCCAGCTTTGGTCTCTGAGGCTGGAATCCCTGACCAGCTTTGGATAAGCAGGAACAGAGTGATCATCATCCATGATTTTACCTGGAGTCTTCGCGAACTGCTTCTTCTGGCCTGTCAAAAAGCAAGTGCAGGTTTGGATGGCAGGGAACAAAGTTGACGAGGAGGCTGAACACTGCATGAAGAGAGGACCAAGCCAATGAGAGAACAACGGCAGCAACAAAAAAGCAAACAAACCCTGCAACAGACCTGATGGGGGATGAGTCGCTGGACGTGGATGAAGTGGGCATAGGGCTGGATGGCGCCGAGAACATGGGCCAAGATGGCGAGAGGGGTGAAGTTGGGCTTGGATTCGGGGGGCTGCAAGACATAACCACCAAAAAACTCGTCAGCACACAGGGAAACCACAGTGGGAGCACAGGAGGTTCAGGCGAGGCTGAATGACAGGGAGCTGGAGAGACTGGAGGGGCACTGAACCCAGGCTGTGTCTTCAGTGCCAAGTCACACTTCTCCAGACAAACCTCCGTGTCTTCCAAGTAATGCCTGTTCTGGAATTCCTTGGAGTAGTAACATGTCTCTTTGCCCCGCAGAGCAACTGCTTTCTAGGTGACAGGAGCTTCTGCAGTTGTCTGTTGTGCCTCTGGCCACCAGTAAAAAATGTCCTGAACCCACATCCATGGGTTCCCACACCCACATCCTATCACTGACCTCCATCTGGGTCAGGGCTAGCTTACAACCAGCCTCCAGCTTCCACCGCTATGTGTTTAGAAAGCTGGGTCTCAGCAAAAATGACCTTTTTTTTGGCAGGGGGTGGGGGGGAGGTGGTTGCCACACAGGCCAGTCCACCAGAAAACGATTTCCTGTTTACATTTTTAACTAAATGGACTGTGTGCCATTGGAGACCCAGAGAAGGACTGCATTAGGAAAGTGATCGCAGGTGGAGGATGGGCCTGGACACACACCTCCCAGGAGAGGGCACACAACTGTGTGCAGCACCCAGTTGTCCCTCTGAGGTTTGCTTCGCAGGCTTACTCTTTCTCTTTTCAAGGATTTTGGGCATCTTGATACTCAAAGAAAAAGTCCAAGATGGAAGGCAATGAAAAAATGAACTTAAAGCTTAAATCTGTCAATTTGTTCTTTGATGGGTGGCTGATCAAAAAGCTGGACAGAAAAGGTTGAAATCACTCACTAAAACATACATGGTTGGTGGCGTTTAAGTAGTCATGCTAGCCCTTTGACTTATTTCACAAATTATACAAACAAACATCTTAGCAACTCTGTGAAATTGCATTAAGGCATAGATAGCGCAAACACCAAAACAACGCAGAAACCACCCAGCCACACCACCTGCAGCCCTGGACAGCGGCTGGCCTTTCTGACCCAAGCACTGTATGAATCCAATTCCAGGGAACACACTGTCTAAACATTCCAGGATTTAGCAAGAACACATAAATGTTCTACTTAATGATATATCTTCAACTCAGATGAGAGACTCAATAATGGCCTTAATTATCTACAGTTGTAATATAAATTCCTACAGAAATGTACAGTAAAATCCCATTGCGTGAGTTCGTCGAATATTCTCAGACTAACTGAATGAAACAATTAGTAAATGCCACTATGGTATTGTATTTCTAGAATATAAATTCTATGAGCAGGGATTTTTGTTCGTTTTGTTTACTGCTGTACCTCTAACTTCTAAAATAGTGCCTAAGAGGTTTTCAGGAAATAATTATTCACTAAATTAATGAATCTCATTTAACCCAAATATCTAGCCAAGAGGTGTTATTATAATTACCATTTCATAGATATGGGAACTTGGGCCAATTTGAGGCTTACCTGAAGATACTCAGGCTCTAAGCATCAGGGCCAAGTTTTTGACCCCAATCTGCTGGCTCCAAGCACAGGGCTCTTGCTGCCATAATGCATTGCCTCTGGGTAGTAGGACTTGCTTTGGTCCTCTAGGCTATGCCAAGTTTCTTTATAGATCCACTAGAAACCTTCTTAACCACTGATTTATGAGTTTCCTTCAGATGCCTACCACATTTGCAAGGGAAAATGGGAATGCAGCAACAGACAGACCCAAACAGACTCAACACATTGTAAATCCCAACAAAATACTCAATCCTGCCTCCAGTCTTCTGTCTGGTAGATTCATACAGCAGATGGAATTCATATAATAGAAGAGATTACATTTGAAGAGTATGGCTCTTCTCGTCTCAATTATTCCAGCAATGACTAACTTATTGGACACACAGTGTGATCAAGACAACAAATGAAATACAATTCAGCATTTACCAAGGGGTCTGACTTGCAGAGCATACAGTGTATTTCACGAGATGAGACAAACCAAAAAACAACTATAATATAAGACAGTAAGTAAGCTTCATTAGTTAAGGGATCAGTTACTCTATGATTAGTTTAATACCGGTTCCCACACTTGATTCTGTCTTGGGTCCTGGGAGGAAGTGCTACCTTATTTCCATTGGGTAGTCAGTCCTTAATTAATCCATAGAGCAGCTGGTAAGAAAGGCCTTGCTTTCCCTAGTCCTCCCACAAGGTAATGACCCAGTCAGTGAGCAAGGCCTGGCTATTCCAACTGCAGCCCAGCCTGGGAACTCAGGTTCCAATCAGGGACAGTCTGGAGGTTTATGAGAGCAACCCAGGCCCAAAGGCCTGAACTAATCTGTTCCTTCCAGCAGAGGATAATTAAAAAGTTCTTAAGACTTTTTTTTTTTGAGTGGCTTCTATAAGTAGGAAGGGCTTCCCTGGTGGCTCCGTGGTAAAGAATCTGCCTGCCAATGCATGAAATGCAGGTTCAATCCCCGGATCAGAAAGATCCCCTGGAGAAGGAAACGACAACACACTCCTGTATGCTTGCCTGGGAAATCCCATGGATGAAGGAGCCTGGCAGGCTACACCCCATGGGGTTGCAAAAGAGTTGGACATGATTCAGTGACTAAACAACAATAAACAGGAAATCCCTCCAGTTTCCTACCTCAACTGTACCAAGAATCATGCCTTTGGCTAAAGGCATAGCTGGGAACATAGTCTAGTCTATGAACACAATGTGGGCTGTGAATGTTTCTTTACAACCCTGGATATCTAAGTGGCTCTTGGCAACCTAGTACATGGCTGAAATTATCTGGGGTTAGGGTTGATCTTAAGGGAGATCAACTCTGAATAGTCACTGGAAGGACTGACACTGAAGCTCCAGTATTTTGGTCATCTGATGTGAAGAGATGACTCTCTGGAAAAGTCCCTGATACTGGGAAAGATTGAGGGCAGAAGGAGAAGAGGGCATCAGAGAATGAGATGGCTGGATGGCATCACTGATGCAATGAACATGAACTTGGGCAAACTATAGGACATGGTGATGGACAGGGAGGCTTGGAGTGCTGTAGCCCATGGGGTTGCAAAGAGTTGGACACGACTGGGTGACTGAACAACAACAATGGCTGCAATGCAGGACACTCGCAATGATCATAAGAAGTTACGCTTCCATCTCCATGTCTACGGCCATAGTATTATTAACTGTGCTTTTTAACAACTAACAGATTTTCATTTGTTGGCTTGCATTTTAGTTACAGGAATAACATTTATTTGCTATAAAATAACTCTAACTTAGAACTTATTACCACTACATTTTAGTGCAACAATGAAATGTACACTCCACAGTACTTCTATGATTTCTAAACTGATTGAAATTATACTTTGCTTGTGCTCCAGAGTCACATTAACAAAACTAAATGTCAACAATACTACTGAACACTCTTATATACCACAATGATTGATGCTTATAGCAAAAGAATGATGTAAACACATAAACGTTCCTCCAAGAAATATAGAGCACATTATATATCAGTTTTGATGCAACCCAGAGAACACACAGGTGGAAAATAAGATGCACAGGGATGACGATAATGGCTAAAGACTATTTATATAATCTTAACCTCTGACCACAGAAGTGTCTGGCTATAAGTTACTTAAAGTGACAACAGCAATGGTAAAAAATCCAAGATAAAACAAACTAAAAAAGGCCAGCTTTGGTATTACTGGCTCTGAAATCTCCGATATTGAATTCTCAAACTCTATTCCCATTAATGAGGCCAAAGATAACAAATAATTGATGTTAGGATAGAAGATAATAATTTTATAACTATACTCTTAGCACTTGACCCAGAAAGCCCTCTCCACAACCTCAGAGTCCAGCTGAATGCCCTAGCACATTTTTCACCCTAAATATTCCTGGGGTCCTGCCAGGCCCCCACATCAAGGCCCAAGTACAGCAACAACAGCTTAAACTTTAAGGAAAATTTGCTGGTCTGGTTTTGAGTCAACTGGGAGACTTGCATCAGCTTTAGTTTGCTGGTCCACGGTGTCCTCAAAAGGAGTCACACAGCCCAGTCAGTCCCTGTGACATTCACTGGACAGGGAAGAAATAATGGTTTAGGAAGATAAGGCTCAAAGGTCTGGCATCATGCTGGGATGTGGCTGAGAGTTCAAGTACAGCTGTGTGGCAATATCATCAGCTTGACACCCTTCTGTGGTGACTCACTTGACTGATGGGGCATCTGATGTACCAGCCAGGGCATGCCTACTGGGCTGTGGACTGGGCTGCCCCAGCAGGCTCCCAGTTTGATCACGGATGTGGCAGACCCTCTCATGGCTCCACAGCACAGGAGTGGGAAATCCTGAGCTGGTACAAGATAAGCAGCCAGCTGACCACTAATAAGAAAGCTGATCTTCTTTAATTCTGATATGCAAAATTATAGATGATGAAGAAATGAAAAAATATCAAAAGAAAAGCAGTAAAATCATACATACTTTATGCCACTGATAATCACTGATAATATCCCGACAAATTTCTTCACTTTTCTGGGGGGAAGGGAGGGTTGTGGATAATACTATATACATAGTAGCATGCTTTTTTCATGTAAGCATTTACTGATGTCATTAAGTAACCTTTGACATATTCCAAAAATCATAAAACTCTTTCCTCATTAATGAGGCTAAAACGCAACTGATGTTAGGATAGAAAAATAATTTTAAAACCACAATCTTAGCAGATGACCCCCTGAAGGCCTTTCTACAACCCCCCAGAGTATTCTCAGACCTAAAGGGGAGTCTACTGTATGGTATAGCCTGATTTATGTAACTCTTTTCTTATTGTGTACATTCGAACTATTATCCCCCCTCAGCTTTAAGAAATAGTGCTGCAATTCACATTCTTGTAGCAGAGCACTGCTTGTCTCCAGTTGTTTCCTTAGTATAAATTCCTGGAAGTTAAATTAATGGGTCAAAGGCTAGGAGCCTTTCCTAAGGGCCCTGATACATCCTAGCAAACAGCTTTGCAGAAA